AGCCGGAACTGGCATGAGCAGCCCCACCCCTGGCCTGCCCCATTTCTGCCCCAAAATTTGGAATGGGCTTCCAAGAGTTTCTGAACTCGCCTGCCCACACTGATCAGTGGCAGCAGCCAGGCAGAAGCTGCTGCTCAGAGCAGGGGAGAAAGTGGCCCCTCCCTTTCACCTCTGCCAGGCCCTTCTTGCTGCAGCCACCCAGAGCTCATCTGGGATGCCCTGCAGCTCCTCTGCAATGCCACTGCTGCCCCGCTGGGTAGCCCTGAGGCAGTGATGATGGTGGCAGAGAGGAGCTGCAGGGCAGCCCAGGCATGGACTCCCAGTGACTGTAGCAAGAAGAGCCTGGCAGGAGTGAGGGGGAGGAGCTGATTTTCCCTGACTCTGTGCAGCAGCTTCTGCCAAGCCACTGCCATTGCTGAGCATGGGCAGGCAGTATGGAGGAGGCGCAGAGCAGGCCAGGGTTGGGTCTGCATGCAACTTGCACATATTCATCATGTATTACTTGGGGTTTACCCAACTTGAGGAGGTGGCTGGCCCATTTCACAGGCAGATTGCAAAGCTAGCCACCATTTTTGTGGGTTGGTTGTACTGCCACCATCACCCCTCTGCCTGAGGCATACCCAGTGGCCCTGCTCCTCACCGCTGATTGGCTGTAAGGGGTGCACATCATATAGCCCCAACCCTCACCATCAATTGGAGTGGTGGTCACATGGCAGTCACATGACAGACATCCCTCTCAGCCAGTCAGTGGCAAGGAGTGGGGGTGGCCTTTTGGAGCCCTCCTTTGTACCGGCAGTCCCCCCTCTCCTTTTTCCCCCCAGTAGGCTATATGGCTGAGCTGCAATACCTTGGGGACTGCTGGTTCCCTCTGGGGAGCCAGCATTTTATTTTCAGTAAGATTTCTTCTTTATTTTCGCTGATTTCATGAACATTGTCTACTTTTGCAGGCACTGCTAGATTTTGTGATTTCCACAGGTCCCTACATATTACATGTTGGACATCACTGCTAGATCAGAGGCTAAGTTTGGGAGAGCAGTACTCCAGTCTTTATTTAAATGATACAGCCTATCATGCTAAGATGACACTGCTTGCCAATCAAGTACAGTGGGATATGCACTGAGCATGCTTGCCTGCCAGTGTAGGTGAGATGCTATTGTCATTGTAGATCCTCTTACCCACCTTTCATCCCTCCTTTCAGGATCCTATGTCAAATATTTGGAATTGAAAGGGAACTGAGAGAGGGTCACAGCTCCTCTCGCTCTTATGGCATCCTTTGGTACACAGGGAGACGGGGTATGTACAGCTCAAATAAATATCCAAGTGATAGGAAGCTCATACATGAGGCTTATGCTTATACCCACTTGTCACAAAGCAGCTATATTCTAAAATATTCATGGAACTTCATAGCTGTTTTCCTGAGTTCGTTTAACTGATACAACAAACATAGTCTCTATCTATAAGTAGCATCAAGCTGTATTTACCCATATTGTTACGTCTGCATGAATTTTGGTATTTGATATAAAGGTAATTTTGATGTATCTTTATAATTTAGCTAACACTGTTTAGTGGAGCAGCGATTAACTTAAGCATTCCTTGCTTATTCACACACTGAAAATTAGCAACTGTCTTGAGTATGTTTACTTTTAGACAATGACAAATTTACATTTTAGAAGAAGAGACCCTTAAGAACACCTGGCTATTCAAACTACTTGGAAGGAATGTCTCTCAGTGGGGTAATTAAGTGTGAGACAGTATCTTTGGGTATAGCTAAAAGAATGCAAATATTATCCAGGTCATATTCAGATCAGGAAAGAAACTTCTATTTGTGGGACAGGAAGTTAAACACAGAAGCCAATGGATGATATATATAAATGGTCAGACAAGAAACCATACTTAAGCCTTGACAGGAGAGCACATCTTTTGTCGTTAGTGTTCCTGGGAATAGGGAAACTGAGGTCCCTTAGCTAATGGGCTGAGTAGAAACTGCGTTCTTGAATTCAAGATGCAGGGCAAAAACCAGGTTATTGTTCTGGTATTTTCTTTTGCTTGTTTGTTCTTATATCTCTGTCTGTATCTAATACATGTTATTGATTTCTTATATTTGCCCTTATAAGTCTTTGGTTATTTCTTATAACTCACTAATTGTCAGGGTAAATGTGATTTCAGAGTATTTTCTATAGAGGCAGGCTTCTTCTCCAGAAGGGGGTGGGGATCTATCTGTTCTGACCAAGAGTGTGATTTTTCTGCTGGCAAAATCTCCTCTACTAAGAGTTGGCAAGCCCTGGATAAGGCAGGTAAGGCTGAGGTGGCCCATGTCAAAGATTTGGCCCTTGGCTCATCTCACCTGGTTCTCAGTGGTCAAACAGCAGATGACAGACGGATTTGCAGCTGAAGGCACCCCTAAAGGTGTTAAGAATACGCAGGATTGTGTCTCAAAGGCATACCTGACTGCATTCAGGGTCTGGGCATGTCACACCACCTACATACAAAAATGAAAAAAATATTTACTCTGTGTAAGTATCTGGGTTTTTTCTGGTTATTTAGCTTAAGGGGCTATTGATTTTGAAAACAGAGCCTGTTTGGTGATCCAAATCTCTCAGTCAAATAGGTTCTTAAGATCCAGAAGATTTTGTATACATTTGAAGACCTGAGCTTTCTGGGAATAGCCAGATAGATGTACAATATGAGTATTTTAACATATTGTAAATGGTTATTTCTAAGAACTTCAGCAAATTGGTCAAGTCTACATTTTAAGTTAGAATTTGTTCTGTTGTTCATAGAGTCATAGATTCATAGATGCTAGGGTTGGAAGGGACCTCAACAGAACATCGAGTCCAACCCCCTGCCTAGGCAGGAAAGAGTGCTGGGGTCAGATGACCCCAGCCAGCTGCCGCTTAAAGACCCCCAAAGTAGGGGAAAGCACCAGCTCTCTTGGAAGCCCATTCCAAATTTTGGCCACCCTTACCATGAAGAAGATTTTCCTGATATCAAGCCTAAATCTTCTCTTTGTCAGTTTACGACCATTTTTCCTTGTTACCCCAAGAGGTGCCCTGGTGAACAAGATTACCTCTCAGCCTTCTCTTGCAGAGGCTGAAGAGGTCCAGGTTCCTCAGTTGCTCCTCATAGGGCTTGTCCTGTGAGCCCCTAACCATATGAGTGGCGCTTCTCTGGACCCTCTCAAGTCTATCAACATCCTTCTTGAAGTATGGCACCCAAAACTGCATGCAATACTTCAACTGCAGTCTAACCAATGCCGCATAAAGGGGGGAAGTATCACCTCCTTGGTTCTATTTGTTATGCATCTGCTGATGTACAATAAAGTGCGGTTAGCTTTGCAGATGATTTCGTCAGAATGACAACTCATGTTCAGCTTGGAATCCATTATGACTCCCAAGTTCCCTTTCCACTTTTGTGCTGCTGAGAGGGTCACTTCCCAGCCAGTATGTATGCTGGATATTTTTGCACCCTAGGCGCAGCACTCTGCACTTGTCCTTGTTGTACTGCACCCTATTGTTTACTGCCCACTTTTCTAACCTGTCCAGGTCCGCCTGCAGTCGTTCCTTACCCTCTAGAGTGTGCACTTCACCCCTCAATTTAGTATCATCTGTAAACTTGAACAGAGTACACTTCACACCCACATCCAAGTCACTGATGAAGATATTGAAGAGTACAGGTCCAAGGACCAAACCCTGCAGGATTCCACTACCCACATCCTTCCTCAATACCGACCAGTCTACTACCACTCTCGGCGCAACCATTAAGCCAACTTGCCACTCATTGGACCATGTAAACATCTATACCACAGCCTCTTAATTTATTTATGAGAATGGGATGAGGTACTGTATTGAAAGCCTTGCTAAAATCCAAGAAAACAACATCCACCTCTACTGCATCTAAGCATTTTGTGACCCTGTCATAAAATGAAACCAGATTGGTTAGCATGATCTACCTGTTACAAATCCATGCTGGTTTCCCTGCTGCATTGTTTTTCCCACTGGACTCCCACAGATATGATCCTTCATAAACTTTTCGAAGACCTTTCCAAGGACGGAGGTGAGACTGACTGGCCTGTAATTACTCAGATCTCCTTGAAAATAGAGACCACACTGGCCCTTTTCCAGTCTTCCAGGACCTGACTCTTGGATGAAGCTTATCCAGGCCTGCTGACTTGAACACATCCAGTCCATCCAAGTGACTCTGCACCAAGTCAATGTCGACAGTTGGCTGGTGTCCCTCTGCCTGTCTAAGAGCCCATTAGGAGACTTATTTGGACCCCTGTTCAAGAACACTGAGGCAAAAAACTCATTAAATAGCTCAGCCTTGTCCCCCCTCTCTGTCACTAATTGCTCCTTCTTGTTCAGTAGGGGTCCTATGCTGCCCTGTGCCTTCCTTTTATTTCCTACATACCTAAAAAATAGGACTTCTTTGTTGTCTTTAATTTATGTTGCCAGCCTCAGCTCCATAGTTGCTTTGGCCTTTCTAACCGCCTCCCTACAAGTACGGGCCAAGTAGGTATACTCCTGCTTGGTAGCTACCCCCTGCTTCCACTGCCTGTATGCCTTCTCTTTTGCCCTTAGGCTCCCCTGGATTACAAGGAAGTATTTTGGCTCCTTTCCCCCTTTTCCCTCATACTGGGATCATCTCCTTCTGTGCCTGAAGGATTGCCTCCTTTAGGAATGACCACCCTTCCTGGACTCTTATCTTGCCAATACACCTATCCTGCAGTGCATCATTGACTACGCTCCTGAGCACACTGAAGTTAGCCTTCCTAAAGTCGAGCACTTCCACCCTACTAGTTGTCTTACCCACCCTGCTCTAGATGGTGAATTCAGTTGATTGGTGTTCACTGTCCCCAAAGTGACCACAAATCTGCAGCTCCCCTACTAGATCCTCCCCTGTAGCCAACACCAAGTCCAGTAAGGTATTTCCCTAAGTGGAACCATATACCTCCTGTGTTAGGTGAAGGTCCTGCATGCAGGTTAAGAACCTACGCGAACAATTGGATTTGGCTGACTGCTCCTCCCAGCAGATGTCAGGTTAATTTACTTCCCCCATGACAACCACGTCCCTAGACTGTACAGCCTCTGAGAGCTGCCTCAAGAATTCTAGGTCTAGCTTTTCCTCTTGGTGTGGTGGTCTGTAGCAGACCCCCGCCGCCAAGTCCCTTTCCCTTCGACCTCCATGTATCCTAACCCACAATGCCTCAACTTTCTCCTCCTCTGATCCCATTTTGTTTAGGGTGGATGTATAATGCTCCTTTACATAGAAAGCAACCCCGCCCCCTTTCCTCCCTACTCTGTCCCTTCTGTACAACCTGGAGCCCTCAATGTGTACCACCCAGTCATGGGTAGGGTCCCACCAGGTTTCCATTAGCCCCACTAAATTGAAGTTATTACCTGCAAGCAGAAGTGTGAGTTCTTCCTGCTTGTTCCCCATGCTCCTAGCATTAGTACAGAGGCACATGAGCCCTCGGAATGGTGGCTTTGGTGCCCCGCCGTTCTGTTTTCCTAGATTAAAAGAGAGCCATAAACTGAGTTTAGGAAATGTCCTGTTTTATAGATGCTATCATCACTAAAAATTTAACATTAAAAAAACGTTTTATGTTCTTTTTGGTGTTAGTGTCATCAGTTTTTCTAGTAGAAACACATAACTCTAACATGGGCTTATTTGCATTAAGTATCCACTCAGAAGTAACAAGATGACTTCTGGGTCATATACAGATCCTAGATTGAACAGGATAGGGCCAAACTTACTTATAGTTTGACTGGCTAATGAGTGTCGCCAGTCAAAATAATTCATGAAGTTCATGGTGTAGTTTTAGTTTTAAGCATATTATAATTAATGAATTATGTGATTTTAATGTTATGTATTGCTATATCTACACAGTCTACACATCAGATATCTGCACATCACTGCACAGTCATGCTCAGGCCTTTCAGAAGTTCCTGTTAAACAGAGTCTGAATTAACTCTTAAACCTTGACTAGTGTTGATTCATTAATTGCATTGGACAAGTGGTATCACTCAGACTATGAAATTCCAGGTAATTGTTAGCCAGGTGTGTTTACCTATGAGATATAAGGAAAAATGAAGGTTCCCTTTTCTTTTCATAAATAAATCACACTCAGAGTGATAAACACGTATTTAACTGATGCCCCTAAGGATCACTAAGCAAATAATGTGGAGTAGTTTATAGAGGTTCAGCAAACTTTCTAATAATTTTTTTCCATGCATTTCCTAGTAAGGTTAGATCCACAAACATTAACAGTGGGAACAGATTTTAAGACAGGATTC